ACAAGACACACCCTTGTAAGACATGTTCCCAGTGACCTATTTCTTCCAAGTAAGCCCCACCTCCTGTGCTTTACACCAGCTCCCAATATCCATTCAATTATGAATTCATCAATAGGACCAGAGACCTCATAAAAGATCCATATCTAAAAACCCCACTACTGAACATTGCTGTACAGGGGCCCAAGATTTCAACACATGAGCCTTTTAGATCCAAACCATAGCACATAATTTCCGTGGATCAGGAATTTAGAAGCAACTTAGCTGAGTATTTTGGCTCAGTACATTATATACTCAAGATGTCAGCTGAATCTGCGGTCCCTGGAGGTTTTCCTTTGTTTGTTTTTGATTTGTGTGTTTGGTTTTTTGGTGCTGAGCCTTTATTTATTTTTATTTGTTTGTTTTAATTTTGAGATAGAGTCTTACTAAATTGCTAAATTGCCTAGGCTTGACTCAAACTTTTAATCCTCCCTAGTGCTGTAGGAAAAAAATGGAGAATTACGTTTCTGGCAGGAAGGAATCTGTCAACCACATTTTGGGGTTAGGTGAGATGCTGTAGGTGGGACTAGAAATCAGGGAATCAGGGCAGAACGAAGCCCTTAAAGTACGTTCATAAAAAAGGAAGGACTGTGGGCAGCTTCAGGTTCTCCCCAGCTGCAGTGTGGGAAAAGAAAGAGGGTTCAAAACTACCTTGGCTCCTGAACATAAACACGAGCACCCTCCCTTTTCCAAGTCTAGTTCTCAAATGGCAGAGTAGGACTGTATAGAAAGCCACTCTCCTTTACAAAAAAAGACATTAGTGACTGCTCTTCCTCTGGTTTCTGTTAATAGAAATCCCTCCAAATATAATTTTGCAGGCATACAAATTAAACAGGGCTTTATTAAACACCTAGAAGGCTGGGGGCCTGGAAAAAGTTTCTCCATGGGCTCCTCATCAAGTAACTTCTCAAGTTACCACAAATAACCACCCAACCAATTCAGAAACTAATGTCTGGACAAAGAACCCCTTTGCACAGGTCAGGCCAAACCACTAAACTACTTAGTGCAGACATGGGATTCCCACACGTGGGCGTGAAGTCCAAGTACATTGGCCTGCGGGGTTCATTATTTCAAAGTCCTTGGGCCAATTTTATGTCTCACTGCCCAGGTTTATAGAGTGATGCAAGAGGAAAAGCAAATTCTGAGGCTTTCAGCAAAATGGGCTGTTTTGCTGAGGCCTGGCCTCAGGTACTATAGGAGACTTTTACATTGCAGAAGCCCATGGAAGCTGCATGGCCTGTAGTTCAGATTCCACCTTCTGCTGCAGCCTGCCAAGACTTTACAGACTCCCTCTGTCACTTCTACCTTAGGACTGTGTGCAAATCCCTTGGGATCTCTGTGTCTTAGTTTCCTTATTTGGAAAAGAGGGATGATAACAATAGCTCCTCCCCCTCTGTTTCTTTGTTTTTTTTAGGCCTGGGGATTGAATCCAGGACCACACAGTGGTCTAGGCTCCCACTCCTTTTTATTGTTTTAATTTTTTTTTAATTGTTTTAATTTTTAAGATAAAGTCTCCCTGTGTAGTTCAGCCTGGCCTTGAACTCACTGTGCAGCCCAGGCTGGCCTGTAACTCAGTATCTCCTCCTGTCTCAGCTTCTTGAATGCTAGGATTACAGCCAGGCACCACCTAGTCTTTTTTATTTTTTATTTTGAGAAGGATCTTGCTAAAGTGCCTAGGCAAGACTTGAGCTTGCAATCCTCTTGCCTCAGCCTCCCAAAGTGTCAAAATTGCAAGCATGCACCACCACACCCAGTATAGCTTCTCCCTCTTGAGCTTCTGGAGAGAATTCAGTGAGTCCTATAAGGAGTAACAGCACAGAGAAAGCCCCATGTCAGTGTTTGCTATTACTGATAGTACTTAGTGTCAATTAATTTAGCTGTATTTTTTCTCATTAAGTTATACTCACAACATATATTCCCTTTGAGTTAGTTGTCCTGATGATAATAAGTGGCACTAATTATCTAGTTGGGCTCATGGGAAAAACCATCCCATCCATCACCAAGTTCTGTTGTTTCTTTCACTGAAGTATACTTTGACCGTTCTATCTAGTTCTCTCCAAAATAGGGGGGAATTAAGCCCCTGAACTCTAATCCTGGCTCTCTACTCATCGAAAGTTTCTTAGGCCAGGGATATAGCTCAGTGGCATAAGTGCCTGCCTGGCCAGCACAAGGTCCTGAGTTCAACTCCTGGTACAAAACAAAAGCTAAAGAATGTGCATGCAAAGATAAATAGGGTAGGGGCTGGGGATTTAGCTCAGCGGCATAAGTGCCTGCCTTGCAAGCAGGCCGTCATGAGTTTGATCCCCGGTACCGATAAAAAGACAAAAAAAAAAAAAAAAAAAAGATAAATAGGGTGTTTCGTGAATAAAAATGATTATAAAAAATTTGGGGCTGGGGATTTAGCTCAGCAGCATAAGCGCCTGCTTTGCAAGTGTGTGGTCACGAGTTCTATCCCTGGTACCGATAAAAAAAAGATCCCCCCCCCAAAAAAAGTTTCTTAACATCTCTGAGCCTCAATCTATTAGTTAACAACAATCATAATAGTATCAGCTTCATAACTATTGGCTGGGAATTAGACAAAATCATGCAAGTAAAATGTTCCCAGGGTCCAGGAGCTCATTCCTAATTGTTACAAATTCTTCCCCATACCAACCTAAAACTGTCTCCTTAGAAGGTTGAACTCCAAGTCTAGATCCTCAAAGAACAACCCTAGGCCAGGCATTGTGATGCCTGTATCACTGAGCCTTCTGGGGGGGCTAAGGCAGGAAGACAAGTTTGATCCCAGTCTGGGTGACTTTGAGAGACCCTATTTAAAAAAAAATAAAAAACTTTAAAAAAGGGGAGGGATGCTGGAGATATTCCTCTTCTTAGTATCTTTCAGAAAGAATTAAAAGCATCATACCACACAAATATATGCACATCCATGTTTATATTGGCACAGTTTTTTTTTTTTTTTTTTTTTTGGTCTTTTTTTCATTTTTATCGGTACTGGGGATTGAACTCATGACTGCCTGCTTGCAAGGCAGGCGCTTATGCTGCTGAGCTAAATCCCCAGCCCCATATTGGCACAGTTTGTAATAGCTAAATCTTGGAAACAGCTCAAGTGCCCATCAACTGGTGAATGGATAAATATGTGGGGTTTTTTAATCAATGGAGTATTACTCTGCCATAAAGAAGGATACACTTGAGACATTTCTAAGTAAACAGATGCATCTTGAGACAATGCACTTAAGCAAAATAAATTGGACACACATGTGGAAATAACACATTGCTTCTCTGGTATGAGAATCTAAAAGTGTAACGACCAAAACATATAACAGATATTGTGAAGTAAGGAAAGAATGTTCAAATGGAAAGGGAATAAAAGAGGGGGAAGGGGAAAGGGCAAGAAGGAAAAAGTAAAAAAAAAAGATAAAAGAAAAAATGCAAACAAAGCTTTTGTAAATGGAGAGGGGAAGTTGAAAGGAGGGTAGGGGAATGGCAAAAGAAATTGTATCATGTACAGGTACAAATTCTCTATGATGAATATGATCATTATGTATATATGTATTTACAAAATGTAGAAGTGAAAATCTAAAATCTTCAGGATAGGGCTGGAAATCCACGAAAGAGTCCAAAAACAGTCTTCTGGTAGATTCTGTCTTATAGGGAGGTCAGTCTTTGTTCTGTTAAAGATCTTCAAATGATTGAGTGAGGCCTATCCCTATTATGGAAGACAATATGTCTACTCAACACCCATAAATTTAAAAGTTAATCATATCCCTTCTCTCCCCCGCAAAAAACCTTACCAGAAACATCCAAAATGTTATTTGAATGAATGTCTAGGCACCGTGACACAGTCAAATTGATATGTAAAATTAACCATTACCTCAGTCTTGATCTTACTAGCCAGAGTCTACCATCTTGGAATGTGTGGGTCAGAGCTCTTTATATGTTTTAAAACCTTCTGTAGAGTCTATCTCAGGCATTTTTGGCAAGGAGGTGTTGGATAAATTCCTGGAGAGTAGAAGAACAGAACAATGAGGTTTTGTCGACCCTCTGAAAGTAACTTTGCGTACTTTCTGGAAACTATAGAGGATGCAACACCAATCTCATCATTAAAACCACCTGACAAGAGATCCCCCCCCCCATACAATCCTAATTGTTTCTCAATCCTGAAAACAATTCTTTGACCCTATTTGGTCATACTTTCTAGGGTAATAAGGGATTTATACTGAAATGCCTGCTGATTTGAATTTGATCTTAACCCTAGTCAGTGAAGAAAAGACAAAAGAACAGCCCATAGAGAATGCTGTGTTGTAGCTCACGTTGCTGACAGTCACTCTGTGACAACTTTCTCCCAAGCCTCTTCCTAATGGATTCGACAGACTGCTACCTCTCATTTCCCTCTACCTGTAACCAAGTTTAAAACAACATTATAGATAAACCAGGCTCAGAAGAGTGGCCTAGTGGTTTCTGTGATAATTCACATTCCAAACTCAAATTTGCAATTCTAAACCTAGAATTTAATCTTTTCTCTTGCTTTCAGAGCTGGCTGCTGCCTAGGTAGTGGGAGGAGGAGAGACTTGGGTAACAAATCCCCCGCAACTAGAACAAGAGACAGAACACCTCAGGATATTTGCCAAGGCCAGTGTCCTTGTCTTTGTGTATCCCACAACTACTTGGCGACATTGTTTTATTCCCTCTTCTGCATCTATAAAAATCCTTTTCATTCCTCCTCAGTCTCAACAGAGAAATAGCCAAAGAATAGGTACAGGCTGTTCGCAGAAAAGGAACTCCAAAAGTCTTTTGAGCACGTGAAAGAGATGTCCAATTATACATAATAATGGAAATGCAAATTAAAGTCATAAAAGGAAGATATCAGATTGGCAAAGATCAGAATGTCTGACCCTTGTATATTACTGGCATTAACCCCATTATCTAGCTCTCTTAATTGCCTTTGAAACTTTTGTTTCTTCCTACAGACCTGTTATATGCCTCCCATGAACGCATCCAGTATATGAAGACATAAACTGGGACAAAAGCTGCACGGGCTTATACTCCACATTTGCCACACAAGATGCACTTTTTTTTTTAAAGGGTCCTTCTAAGGATTTTCCATTGTAACAGGCAAATTCTCACTACCTGTTTATATTATGAACAACCTCTTCTCCACAACACTATGTGAGTATCGGAATCTGGGAAGCAGACAGCAACTTTTACCCAGTGTGTCAACTTCTTCCTTTCTATACCACTCAAACAGCAACCACAGTGGCTTCTTGTCGTTCTCAAATTTTAAAATGCACTGGTTTGATGATGGAGCACTTCTGCTTCCAGGGATTAGTAGATCTACTTGCACATTCTTGCAAAATGACATATGCATAAAAATATACATTGCAGCATTGTTTGTAAGAGATGAACTATTTAAATGTCTGTTAGTAGGGAGCCACTTAAATCAACACAGAGGACTATATGGCCTCTTAAAAGAATAAATAATATCTGTATGGACTGACAGGGAAAATCTACAGAAATATTTTTAAGTAAAAAGAGTGAGATGGATACCAGAGCACACAATGTGCTACATTGAAAGGGAAGAATGGGCATACAGGCAAATATTGTAAATGAATAGAAGACCCTGGAGGACATCCAGTACCCTGTGGACAATGGTTGCCCAAGGAGCAAGGACTGGGAAGCTGCTGAATGTCAGAAGGGAAGTATATTTTTCACTGAGTACCTGGTATTGGTTGAATTGTGTCACTCGAACTCAAATGAAGTCCTAACCCACACTACTTCAAAATGGGACCTTATTTGGCAGTTATAATTAGCTAAATGCTGACAAACTACAATGAGTCCCTTAAAAAAGAGAATATGTTTGTGTGCATGTGTGTACATTATACACGCATAGCATAAGGACTGGCTGTAACTGACATCTGTTTGTTCCAGCCAGCAGATAGTTTGCCCTTGAAGCTAGCAGTGGGTATTCTACCTGAACATCATCATTCCTAGGCTCTTCCCATACCTCACAAGAAGAATGGTGGATGGGTGGGAAGAAGGATAGGGCCTAAGTGAGTACAGGTACAGGAAAAGGCTTCCAGGCAGGCCGCCTCCTTGGTCCTGGAAGTTTTGAAGAAAGTGGGAGAACTATGGTAGTGGGTTTCTAGGGAATTGGGCCAAACAGGGCCTGCTCCTTCAGGGACAGTGAAAACCAAGCAGGGTCTTATCGCTCTCATTTGAATAAAGCTCCAAGAGCTGAAATGGAAGGCTGGAAACACAAACAAATGACCTTGCTAAGATTCCATCTGATCCAGAAAGAATGGCTGTCATCAAGAAACCAACCAATAACAAATGCTGGTGAGGTTGTGGGGAAAATGAAACCTTCTCCACCGTTGTGGGGGAGTATAGACTGGTGCAACCCACTGTGGAAATTCCTCAAAAAACTAGAATTAGAGGTCCCATTTGACCCAGCTATTCCTCCCCACTTGGTATTTTCCCTAAAATATCATAAACATCGTACCACAATGATGTACATGCATCCCATTTATAGTGACATAGTTTATAAAAGCTAAATCTGAGAAACAGCCCAAATGTCCATCAGCCAATGAATAGGTAAAGATGTGACTTTTTTTTTACATACAGTGAAGTACTATTTGCCCATAAAGGATACCGTGGAGCCATTTCTAGCTAAATTAATGCACCTTGAGAACATACTCTTAAGTGAAATGAATCAGACAAACATGTTTAAATTCTATATTGTTTCTCTGTGATAACAAAGCTAAAGTATAAATAAGAACCAAAATGTATAACTAGATATTGGGAAAGGGGAACAAAATGTTCAAATGAAAAGGTAAACAAGCGAAGGGCAGAAAGGGAAAAGAAAAAAAGGGAATAGGAAGAAAAAATGGAAAGGAAGCTTTTGTAAGCAAGAAGGAGAAAAGGAATTGAAGGGAGGGCAGAGGAATGGGGGAAAAAAAAGCAAGATATCATATACAGGTACAATTCCCTATGGTGGGTGTTATCATTATGTATATTTAAAATGGACCAATACGTTTTTTAAAGAGAGGGAAATCTGAACATTGACAAGCACACAATGAGAACGCCACATGAAGAGATGAAGGAACAATTGGACGGAAGCCCAGCAAATTACCAAAAACTAAAGAGAAAGGACAGAACAGATTTTTCCTCTTAGTCTTTGGGCAAGATGTTGGTCCTTGGTCCTTGGTATTTGCTGTGGGTCTGGTCAGGTATGAATTTATCCTCCAGAACTGTAGACAATATATTTCTATTATTTTAAACCACTCCATTTGTGGTAATTTGTAACATAGTCCTAGCACTCTTTGGTAACTAATACAGCACCCTTTGGTAGCTTTTGAGTTCTGGAGCATTTACCTATGTGTATTACAGATTTTAAAATATTTTCAATACCAATGACCCCTCTTTCAGGAGGCTTTCCCAGACTCACCAGATGGTTCTATTCTTTGTGCTCCCAGAGTACTTTAGCTATCTCTGCAACATGATGGATCCAGATATAACTGGTACTTAACCACTCACAGGGTGTCTTAGTTACTTTTCTCTTGCTGCTGGGACAAAATACCCAACACTCAAAATTAAGGAACGAAAGATTTATTTAGCTCATAATTTGTGGAGGTTTCAGTCCATAATCAACTTGCTCCAAGCATGGCACAGGGGCAAAAATTCAAGGTGGCAGAAGACAGTAAAAGCAGCAAGAACAAAAGGGAAAGAGCAAACCTCTTTTCCTCCCTTATATTGTAAGCAGTCCCCCCACCCCAATCCCGTCCAGCTGGGTACAGCACTCAAACCCTCTCCCATTTCCACCTCTTGCTCAGGATGAGAATGTTTACAAAGTAAGGACCCTGGCCCTCTGCTGAGTGCTTAGTTGAACTTCTACACTCAGACTGACACAGGAGTGTCCTCTCCACAAAATCCCTAACTCTTACAGATCAAGGGCTGAGCTGACATTATCATTATAGTCCCAGAGCCAAGTGTTCAAGGTTTGCTGGAGTGAAACCAGATAGTTTCCACTTCCTTCCTGACACAACCTGCTATTTATTGGTTTGGGCTTGATAAACTATTACTTCATTTATGTTTAGTCGGAGTGACAACTAAGACCTGACCTTGACTTGTGGAGGGTCTTGATAGATAGGAGGAAAGAAATCACTTATAATAAAAGAATAGCATTCTAAATGAGCTAAGAGTTTAGCACAAGTCAGGGATATATTCTTTAAACAACAAGTGAGTTAATTCTTGCCTGAGAGAGATGAAGAATCAAGAAAACCTTTCTTGCTGGATGAAGGATAACTAAGACAATGCGTGAGTTATTGTTTCAAGACTTCGACTGCAGAAGTGACATGCCCTTGATCTTCCTTGGCTTTTCAATCATCATGACCTTCTGTATCATCATGTCTATGTGTCGGCATTTCCCTCTTCTCTAAAGAATATCAGGCATTGGACTAAGTCCTACTCTTAGGACTAGCATAACCTCTTGTTTTGTTTTGTTTTTTAAAGTTGCTCAGGCTGGGCTTGAACTTGCAACTTCTTGCCTTGGGCTCCCAGGGTGCTGGAACGATAATCATGTGCTAGCATACCAACTTAGTAAAACTTCAACTTGAAAATAAGGTGTCATTCTGAGATTCCAGGTGGCCATGAATTTGGGGTTACGCTACGTAACTCAGTGCAGCTGCTCAGCTGGGACTCACATAGGAGAGAGAAAATCCAGGTCTTGGAGTCAGATGCACTTGCTTTCAGACCCTGGGTCTACCTGAAGGTCAGCTAGGTGATCTTGGTCAAGTTACTCAGCATCTGTAAATCTGATTCTCATCTGTACTTAATAATGGCCATGTCTCCTAGGGCTGCCAGGCAGATAAATGAGATTAGTCCTGACAGTCAGCATGGTACCTGATAATTTTTTCTTTTTTAGGTTGGACTATGACAGTGAGGGGAACAGACTGATGTGCCTGGGGTTGGGAGAGGCAGTTACTCTCCCATGTTGTGTCTCTAAAATCCCAGCTGGGCTGTTCTCCCTGTGCCCTGTGCTTTTGCCTAAAGGTCGTGAGAGTGTCTGGGCTGGGGGAGGGGGACAAGAACAGTGTTTCCACATCAAGGACTGTGGACCACACCTGGGCAGCCCTGTACCCCACCCCCAGCAGGGGAATCACAGCCCATGCACTCTACTCATTATGCCCTGAAGATCAGCGCCAGCCAGGTGCAACTCCTACCCATTTAGCCCTGGCCTGCTCCTGCTTGCTCAGCTCTCTCCTGGATGGCACATCATTCCCATTACTCTTCACTTTCTCCTTTCCTGTCTCGACAACAACAACAAAAAATTAGTGACGAGTTCTTCCCTCGTGCGCGGTTCCAAGTCAATATGGCACTGGACAGAGCCTACCTTCAACACCGACTTCTGCCTTATTCTTGCAAATCTGAAAAATCGGACTTTTACTTTTTGCACGGTAACACTCCCCCAATCAGCTGTCAGTATGTCTGTTCTGCCCGCCCTTTTGATATCATCCCTGTCAAGACCAAATAAGAGCCCGAGGTTTTGTTTGTCTCCCTCAGAGGATGTTTGTATCTCTTCGGCAGCCTCCCAGTGCCTTCAATAAAGGCCTCTTTTTTTTTTTCTTTCTTCTTTTCTTGTCTCTTTCATGCCAGCAGGGCCAATCAGTTAGAGCATCCATGGCTCCTACTTTCCTTTTGGGAAAGAATGCAGGCAGTTAAAAAAGAAAAACAGCATAGTTTATGATTAAGGGTCCACGTGCTTGTTACAGGATGTACCTGCCACACGGGGTCTGAGAGCACAAGCCAGCTGGCCTCAAGCATACAGATTTCAGCTTTTAATAACAAACAGATGCAAAGTTATTGCTGCAATCTGAAACACTGCAGCTAAGCCATATTGATTTTCCCCCTCCACCTCCACCAGGGTGTATTTATAGAACTTATCATTGGAGTCTCCATAGCATAGCTAGTGCAGACATCTCTCCCACTCTGTGCTAATACCTACTGCCTGTGCCCCTCTGCCTGGCCATCCAGATACTCCTTGCTGGTGCACTGGCCTCTGTCACTGAGGCTGCCCATTTTGGAAGTCCTCCTGGGAGAGGATGGCTGAGAAAGTCTACATGGCTGCATGAGCTAATCTCTGATAATATCCCCAATACAAACAAAATTGACTTGGATTTTGCATACATCAGTGTTTTGCATAGATCAGACAGAACTGGTTGTTCTTCTATGCCAGCTCATGTTCCGTTAGCAATGGATTAAATCATCCAGACATCAAAACCTTTTGGGTGACATTTTCATTTAAATGATCATCATAATTCAGCTTGAGTTTCTATCCATGACCCGTGTTATGAGTCAGCTTCGTTCGGACACATCATTGATAGGACTGATTGGTAATCTTCCATAGCAGCTGATTGCTGCTCATTTCCTCAGCACTGGGAAAAATCGAGTGTCCAAAGTTCTGTTTCTCAACTGTAGCTTTTTACATTTTTCCTTGGCACCTAGCGGGACTAAGTCATGGATTCACTTATTATATGTACTGAGTGTGCAGTTAACAGTGTAAACGCTGGAGTTAATTGCTGAAATTCAAGTCTGAACTCCACCAATTAAAGATTTGAATCATCAGGATCTCTAAACCTCAATTACTTCATTTGTAAAAGGAGTTCCTGTTTTGATGCACTCTCAAAGAAAACAGTAGCCAGAGGGCGCTCTGGAGCTGGTATGATCCATTAGTCCAATTCTGAGTTGGACCTAGAGGGGTACCCTGTTTGCGGGTAACCCCTGGAAGGAAGCATGACCCAGTCTGGCAGTTTCCTCAGCCAAGTTAGTCCACAAAGTACAACTGAGATTGATCTGACAAGTTACTAAGCAACTCTACACCTTTTTCCTGGTACACACAGTGGATTTAATAAAAGCCAGTGCAAGCTGGGGCTATAGCTCAACAGCATAGCACCTGTCTGGCAAGCACAAGGTTGTGAGCTCCATCCCCAGTACAAAGAAAAAAGAAAAAAGAAAAAAAAAAAAAAAAGAAGCCTGTGCCTCAGGTTGCTGGCAGATAAATGAAATGAGGTCTTAGTCTCTTCTTGCAGCATTCCCAGTCAAGGATCAAATAAGATCCTCATTCCTGGAAGATCTGGACAGCTTTCACCAGATTATCTGTGATCATCTACATAAGGCCTTCAACACAGTACCTGGCATATAGTAATTGTTCAGTAAATGGCAGTCATTACACTTGTTTTGATAACTATTATTTATCAAGTCCTATGCTAGAGGCCGGAGACACGGGAATGATCAAGATTCTGCTTCTGCCTCCAAGAAACTCAATTAATGAGCAAATCACACACACAAACAAGCAATTACAATGCAGTGCAATGGATAGAGAGGCACAGGATGTGAATAGGAGCTCCTAAAAGGAACACGTGACCAAACTAAGATGTAAGAGTGATGCCAGAGATAATGCCTGGCAATGAAGAGGAGTCATGGCCAAGGGGTGGAAGTGGTTGGTGGAAAGGAAGGACTGAGTGGAGGAAGCAGTGTTTAACAGGGTGTGTGTGACATAGTTCACAGGGCCAGCTGGGAACATGCACCAAGGTAAGGGAGGAAGGGTCTGTGTGCAGCAGGCCAAGTGTGGACCTGATACAGAGAGGACAATGGAAGGCATTAAGGGATGCTAACTAGAGAAGGGGCAAAGTCCATTTGTGGTTTTTTGGCTGCAGTGAGGGCAAGGGATTAGTGACAGAAAAGACTACAGATCCATTAGGAGACCACGTAAAGGTTGAGATGAGAGCTGAGAGTGGCCTGAATAGACAGACAGAAATGTATAGACAGAATCAAGGAGTATTTAGGAAGTGGCGATGATCAGATAGTAAGAGAAAACAGGAACTCAAGGCTGCCCTTGAGCACTTACTTGTTCTTGTCTTTTTCTTTTTTATCGGTACCACGGATCAAACTCACAACCACACACTTGCAAGGCAGGTGCTTATGCCACTGAACTAAATCCCTAGCCCCTGCCTTTCAGCTTTTGATCTAACCCAAGGAACTCCAGGCCTATGGAACAAGTATTCTAAAGACCAAGAGAAAAGTAAGTCATCAAGGTCAGACATTCTACTAATTATTCCGCATGGCTTGAAGGAACTTCTTTCAGCCAGCTCTCCAAAGCTTTTTTTCTTGTCTTTTTTTTTTTTTTTTTTTTTTTTTTTTGTCTTTTTCGTTTTTATCGGTACCAGGGATTGAACTCACGACCACACACTTGCAAGGCAGGCGCTTATGCCGCTGAGCTAAATCCCCAGCCCCAGCTCTCCAAAGCTTATGGCTTTTTTTTTTTTTTTAACATGAGTACTCAGTTTTATTTCTACTGAAATTCTACTGCAATCTTAGCAATTTTTAGACAATGAATATGTTGTATTCACATGTATATATGGGTAGGTAAACTGAAGGCAGGATGTCATCATAACTCAAAGTGTATGCCTTTCATACACATCTATATGCAATGTCATACATTTTCATGATTTAATTCCCTCATTATACATGCCCCAGCTTATACATGTTTGGAGAATATTACTGACATTAAATTGAATGGTGCCTCATTTCTTTGGCGGTCATTTTTCTGCTGACTCATTAATTACTCAGGAACATTCCTTCTCCTTGTGAGTGTGAGTTACCTTAAGTATCTCCAGTAAATTTTGCATTCATTTTCAGCTTCCTGGATATCCCCAAGTCCTCCTATCACAGTGATGTTCCTAAATGTTTCGCCCATCACATCTCTGTAGAGGTTCTTTTGGGATGGACTCAGCAAAATCCACTCCTCATTGCTGAAGTTCACAGCCACATCTTCAAAGATCACTGCCTCCATTCTGTGGCTAGAGGGTCTCCCAGGTTCTTTACTAATCAGGCAACAGGACATCAAAACCAGTAAATGAGATCCAGCAAGCATTCTGCCTCTTTTTCATTTTTATCGGTACCGGGGATCGAACTCACGACCGCCTGCTTGCAAGGCAGGTGCTTATGCCGCTGAGCTAAATCCCCAGCCCCCCCCCCTTTTTTTTTTTGAGACAGGGTCTCTCTATGCAGTTCAGGCTGACCTTGAGTTCACTTTATAGCCCAGCCTGGTCTTTAACTTGAAACAATCCTTCTGCCTTAGCCTCCTGAGTGCTGGGATTACAGGCGTGAGCCACCACACCCGGCTCAAACTTATGGTTTTGTTTCACAGCTCATTTTAAGTCCCAGTGGATACAATAAAACCATCAAAAGTAGCTATGTGGATTCCAGAGGAAACTACTCCCCCTGTCTGAGTCTAGCGGGGTGGAGGGGGGGGGGAGTGTGGAGGTGGGGGGAGATAGGAGGGAGCAACAAAAAAAAATGCTTTCAGTGTTTAGATTGTAGTTGCATTGGAAAGCAAACAGGGTAAAGGAAGAAGATATAAAATTACTTTTGGATTCAATTTTTAATAAATTAACATTTATTGAATATGGACTGTGTTTAGGGCTTTGAATATAAAGAATCATAGGCAGACTCTCATCAGTATATTTGAAGGTTCTGTCCTTCAACAGTAATACTTCATACAATAAATTAAGGTGCTGGCAGCTAGGCTTACCCATCAGTCCCCCATGTGTTTGGTGATTTTAGTTGGTTGCTGGGGTTTAATCATCTCTGTACTTTTACAGTACTGTGTTTTTGAACATCAGAGCCTGTAAGACTTTCATAAGTAGGAATCATAGGAAAAGAGTGGCAGATCTCTCTAGCATTTGCTCCAGAAGAAATAATCTGAGAGTAAGAGGCCAGAGGAATCTGAAGGTCCCAGAATAATCTGATTTATTTTGTTTTGTGTTTTGTTTCTGCTTTTGAGGCAGGGATTCAGTATGTTGTCCAGGTTAGTCTGGATCTTGAGATTCTCCTGCCTCAGCACACTGTAGTTGGAGATAACAGGTGTGTGCCACGGTCCCTAAACCCAGAATTATCCTGACTCTAAATTGAAAAATAGGCCCAATACTAGTGCAAGATATTTTTGAAGGAAGGGAATGAGTTGGTAAGCCTAACATCTTAATTGGAACCTCCCATAATTCTTTTTGGAATACAATGGATAATCATGGTGTTCACTGAGGTTATAAGTACAAGCGTCATTAAATCAACAAAACAAAAACTTCATGGTTTGGTTTGGTCCTTGCTTTGCAAAAATGAGTCTCAGATTTAAGACAGCAAGAATCAACCTCTAAACCAGGCGTGGTGGCTCACCCCTGTAATCCCAGCAGTTCGAGACCGGCCTGGGCTACAAAGTGAGCTCAAGGCCAGCCTGAACTGCATAGCGAGACCCCATCTCAAAAAAAAAAAAAAAAAAAAAAAAATCAACCTCTAGCCAAAGAAGTGATTTTTTTCCTTGAAATTTTCCACTGCAGTGAAAATTTCTGCATTCTCAATATGAGGTTTAAGAAGAACGAAACCACCCACTTAAAAGCAATCTCTCTTTTCTTCTTCAGGTTTCCAAAGGCAGGCAGGCAGGTGAATTTCCACTGCACTTCCATTTTCTCGAAGGCTTGTTATGATGTCAGGTTAGCGCTACTAAGCTCCTTCTGGACAGCCTTCAGGCCTTTGAGAGAAAGAGACTGAAATGTAACCCAGGGCCGCCACAGTTC